TCTTTGTTTGGAAGCTCATCTGAAACCTGTCCACCATGGGTGACCCTGTTGGTTATTAAAAATACCGGTGGCATAGCCCTCAGAATCACAGCAATTCAAACCACCACAGCAAGATAGACAGACGAGGAATACAAATTAAAACTACAATGTGATATCATCTAACATCCAACATTAATAGCAAAGTTAAAAGAAAACAACAAATGCTGGTGAGTGAGTAGAAGACTGGTCCCCTCCTACATTGTTGGTAGGACTGTAAACTAGTTAAACCATTGTGGAAAATGGTATGGTGCTTCCTCAGAAAGTTGAAAATAGAAATAATTTGACCCAATAAGCCCTCTACTTGAGATATATACACAAAAAATAAGAGGCAGGACGTGCACACCGATGTTTGTTCACAATAGCAAAAGGATGGAGACAGCCTAAGTACCTATCAACAGAAAAATGGATAAATAATCTTTGGTACACACACAACTGAATATTACATAGCATAGAAGAATAATGATAAATCTGTGAAGCACCTTATAACATGGATGAACCTAGAGGACATTATGCTGAGTTAAATGAGTCAATCACAGAGAGGGTAAATTTTGTATGAGGCTATTATTATAAAAACTTGTTTTTTTTTTTAATGAAAAACCATTTTTTTGATGGTTACTAGTGGTCGGAAAGGAGCTCTGGTAGTGTAGTGGTTACAAATCGGGTTGCGAACCACAAGATCAGCAGTTCGAAACTACCAGCTGTTCCACGGAAGAAAGATGAGGCTATCTGCTCCCATAAAGCTTTACAGCCTTGGAAACCCTGTACAGGGTCGCTATGAGTCAGAACCGACTCTATGGCACCAGCGAAGGGAAGAATAATTTACTGTCTAGACTTTAGAACCATGTTAGTGGGCAATATATAAGGGAGGGAGCACTATGCAAGACGGGGAGGGTAGCAGAAGAATGATGAAGTCAGGTGAAGACATGGGGAGGTACGCATGGGCTAAAGGGGATAGAGGTAAACAGTGATATATAGATAACCTTGTAACAAGTGCTCTTTGTGTAGATACAGGGATTGAGGCACAGGCTGAATGGGTAAGGGAGAAATAGTGGGACATATATATTTATTGTTGGTGTTACTGTTAACTGCCATTGAGTCGGTTCTGACTCATAGTGTCCCACAAATATATGAGTTTAAAAGCATAGTTGTACATATGTGTATTTACCTTTCCTGAAAACATGAAAGCAGTGGCGCATACAATAGGCAAAATGATGAAAACTCCCTAGATATTATCAAACATCTTAAGGTAATGAGCTGATGTGCCTGGGGGCTCAGGACCATAGTCTCAGGGGACACGATGGCCAGTTGGCATAATATAGTCCAGAAAGACAATGATCTACATCCTGCTTGGGTGAGTAGTGTCTGGAATCTTGAAAACTCATGTGTGGCTGTCTAAGGTGTAGCTACTGGGCTCTCCATGTGCAGAAGAAAGAAGAGTAATGAGAATTGAAGAGGCTTGGAATCAATTCGTCTAGTGGACTAATGAAACATGTGAACATCAATCTCCATGAGTCTGAGACCAGAAGAACTCGATGGTGCTTGACTATCACCACCAAATGCTCTTAAAGGGATTATGTTAGAGGGTTTGGGAGAGTGGGAGAAAATGTGGAACAAACCTCAAAACTATTTAAAAAAATAATAATAAAAGACCAAGTTTACTGGTCAGAAAGAGACTGGAGGAACCAGAGACTATGGCCCTCTACCACCCTTCAGTCTGGAGAGGAACTCACCCTCGTGGCTCAATTTTCAGCCAAGCAATAGATGGGTTTATATAAGGAGGGGTACACATCACTGGCAAGGTATGTTCACCATCGAAGGGTCAATCATTCAGGATCAAAAGGGCAACATTTTTCTAAGGACAAAGTTGAGAAGGGATAGAAAGGGATGTGGAAAACCGGTGGGAACTATTGGAAGAAGTGGGATAACTATTGTTGAATGAAAGGGTTTGTTAATCATTGAAATGAAACAAAGTATATGATTTGTTGAATATAAAGCTGATGGTCTTTAAACCTTCACTCAATTTACAATGAAAAGTTAAAAAAAAATTGTAAATTTTTAGTTTCTTTGGTTGTTCTGCAAACTACCAAATTTATATTTTAGTTAACTGCTTTGTTGCTGTTGTGTGCCATCCAGTTGATTCTGACTCATAGAGACCTGTGTAGGGTTTCTGAGGGAGTGGCTGGAGAGTTTGAGCTACCGACCTTGAAGTTCAAACTGACCTTGAGGGTGAGTGCTTATCCTAGGGCACCACATCACAAAATAAATCAGAAGACTCATTAAATTAAAAAGCATTCCATTTAATGAGGATATGTCATAAAGCTCAGATACAAAGTAATTAGATGTGCTTCCATAAATGTGGATTCTAAAACAACTGGAAATTAATTTCTCACTTTTCTACTAAATGCAGACTATAATGCTGGTCTTCAAAACTCAAAAGACATTCATTTAGGTATTTTGCTAATTCAATTATGAAAAAAACAATTTAACTTAGCAGTCCATTTTTAAAAATGTGTTTTGTGTGAATTAAAATAAAAAACACTGCTGGATACATTAATTTTTTTCATAGTACTTAATAAGGGAACAGAATGAAGACGTATTAGTATCATTTGGGAAAACAACCCCAGCAAAAAAGACCCTACATTGATATATATACCTGCTTTGTTCCAGATTTTGCTAAGTAGATGGTGCTTTTCTGGCAGTTTTTGTCTTCACAGCCAGGAAGTAAGTGATCTGTGTGTCCATCTCCATCTGCCAAACATAATTCCAAGAGTTCATTAACAGCCACAAAAGAAAGTGTTCTTGTTTGATAGATTAAATCTCCTAGTTGCTCCAAGTCTACATCTATTTGGATAAAACTGAAGAATTTAAAACATGACTTTGTAATGATTGTAACTCAATTTAAAAAAATTAGTCTGTCATTGCTACTTATTACCCAGACTGTGTCTAATTTCAAAATGCACACTTTTTTATGGTTAAATATTTACCTACTGCTGGAAAAACACACACGAAAAACCCACTCTTTTTCAGGCTTTAATGTTAAAATAATAAATTTAAAGAAATATGAGTTTTGGTTTATGTACATAATTATCTTTGCTAGTATAGGAGACCAAGAAACATGCCATTATTATATGACTTACAATAAATGTGAGAATTTATCTTTATACATACTTAGGCTAAGTGTCTTTAATATAGCATAAACTTTAAGAGCTTTCTGTAGCACCTTGGTTTCTGAACACCATCAATAAGCAAGTATTGATTAAAAAAAGCAAAGGAAGGGAATACAGACATCCTCTCCAGTTCACTGCTTACAAAAGACTGATTGTACACCATTTCACAAATACCTGTACAGGTGAGGTCACTGAGGAACTTGGAGTCAGCATCTCTAGACCTCCCACCCATCTACTCCCCCAGCACCCCATACCACATATACATATAATATACAGACTTTGATATTCTAGAGCAAATCTTTGTCAGGGTTATTACTATGGAAGCTGTCACTAGTTTTCTTGCTACTTTAATCTTTGATATATTTAATACAGTTTAACTTGTGTATCTTTAAATGAAGGGACTTCAAAATGTTCAGGGAAATTTTTCATTATCTTTTAATTCCACCCAGCAGTGGACAGCTGATCTTTGACAAGAGACCAGAATTGATGAAATGGGGAAGAGACCGTCTCTTTAACAAACTGTACTGGTAAAACTGTACATCCATTCATAAAAAATTAAGTGGTACCCATATCACATACCACAAAGAAAAACACATTCAAGATGGAGCCAAAGACCTAAATGGAAAACCTAAAGATCATCAAAGAAAACAGGGGTAAACTTGTTGTAGTTGTTAAATGCTATTGCATTGGTTCCAGGAGTGGCTGGTAAGCTTGAACCGCTTCGAGTTGGTTCCAACTCATAGCGACCCTATATATGGTTTCCAAGAAGTGGCTGGTGGGCTTGAACCACCAACCTTGCAGTTAACAGTCCAGTGCTTATCCTACATTGCCATAATGAAATATCACCTCACTCCAGTATTAAAAGCAAAGTTCAACAAACGTTGGCAAGAGTGTAGAGATATTGAAAATCTCCTACATTGCTGGTAGGATTGTAAAATGGTAAAGCCACTGTGGAAAATGATATGGTGTTTTCTTAAAAAGTTGGAAACAGAAATGCCACTTTATTCAGCAATCCCACTATTAAGTATATGTCCCAGAGAAGTAAGAGCCAGGACAGAAATAAATGCTATATTCACTGGAGCACTACTCACAATATTAAATAAAGGAAACAACCTAAGTGCCATCAGTGGATGAATGGATGAACCAACTATGGTACATACACTCAGTGGAATAGTACCAAATGTTAAGGAATTACAATAAATTAACAAAAACCACATAAAATGGATTAACTGGAGGACATTATACTTAGCGAAATAAGTCAATCATAAAAGGGCAAATATTGCAAAGACCTCTATTATAAAAAGTCAGGAAATGATTCTCACACATAAAGAAACATTCTTTGATGGAAACCAGGGGTGGGAGGCTAGGGTGGGTAAATCACTAATGAGAGGGTTGTTGCTGTTATTAAATGCTGTTGAGTGGGTTCTGACTCATAGTGACCCTGTATAAGGTTTCGGAGGAGTGGCTGGTTAATTTGAAACGCTGACCTTGTGGTTGGTTGAGTGCTTATTCTATATGCCACACCAGGACTCCAACAAGAAGGTAGTCACATATTAACTTGGGGAAACCAATATACAATAAGGAGGATGTCAGCACAAGATGATCAAGGCAAAGGAAGACACTGGGAGGGGTACAAGAGGTAAAGGCAACTGTAGGGATAGAAGCTGAATGCTCCAAAATGGCCCTCTAATGCCAGGTGTGGCGCTGTCAGTTAATGTGCCAGGCTGCAAAGTTGTTTGAACTGCAAGGTCAGTGGTTCAAGCTCACCAGCTGCTCCTTGGAAACCCTATACAGGGTCACTATGGGTGAGAATTGACTTGATGGCACACAACAATGCCAACCCAGGAGAAGTGCTTTTTTCACTTTTATCTCCTTTTCCCCTACCCTCCAGCATACATCCTTGACCTTGCATACCAGAGCTCTGTGTTCCCACAGACCACTTAACTACTAAGGAATAGCAGATAGCTGGAGCTAGGCTGTTTTCCCCTGAGTTTTGGCTGAAGATAAAACTCTCCTCATACAGTGCCCTCTCTCTCTGCTTGGAAGATGAGGCTTGTTTACCGAACAGTATAAAAAGAAATCCTCAATTCCCTTCTGTGTAGAGCTGTTTTCATCTCTTGTCATGAGGTTCCCTGTCAGGAAACCACCTCTCTTATTTTTCTTTTTGGCAATTTCTTGTATTGATTCCTGATTTTTTTTTTTTTTTTGGTTTCTTGGCATTTACCCTTCTAGACTAAATCTCAATAACAACAAAGGTAAATACTATTACATACACAATCGTGCAATATCAATAATAACAAACCACGACTGATGAGTGGACACATAAGCTGATATGCAAACTGAATAAGTAAGGGTAGGCGAAGGGACCACTTCCATGACTATAATATAGATTTGGGAGAGGATTTGTATGCACTGTAAATATAGTCATGTACATAGTCCAGCAAACAGAGGACAAAGTTCTGAAAACTTCTTAGCCATAAGCAAAAGCCTTTTCCCAAAAAGAAAGCCAGAAGGCAGTTAATAAGGAGAAAGGACAATGGGGAAAGCAGAGAGGATGGGTAGAGTGCCTTTACATTGGATTTGGTTTTTGGGTTTAGTGGAATGAGTTACTGGGCTTCGGGGCTTAAGATCACAGAGCCTATGCTCTATATACCCTATTGTGATGAACAGCGACTGAGATCTTAAATCCTAGAGAGTGGCTATCCAAGTTTTACCTTGTTGGTCTTTCATTGTCCAAAGTAAACAAGTGTGAAGAAAATCAAAGACTTGAGGAAACAATGAGTACAAAGGACTAACGGACTACATGAACCACCACCTCTACTACCCATATGTTGCCTGGCTGCAACTACTGGCCACTCTGATAGGGCAATAAAATGTCCTTGATAGAATGGGAGAAAAATGTAGAAGAAAACTCAAAAGAGTAAAAAGATTTTATGATTAAGACCAGAGACTGGCTTTTAGATACCCTTCAAACTTGGAAATGAATCTACCACCAAAGATCACCTTGCAGCTAAACAACATTAGCACTTGTGAAGAACATACTCCTCAGGATAATCAGCCATATCAGATAAAAAAGCTTTTTCCCAAAAACAAAGTCCCTCAGGAGGCAGTTAATAAGGACAAATGAAAATGGGGAAAGCAGAGAGGAAGGGTAGAGTGCCTTTACATTGGATTTGGTTTTTGGGTTTAGTGTAAGCAAAGGCTGATCGAATGAAGCCTTTGACAACGATTTAGAAGCTATATGTGCAGCAAGTGAAGGTGACTGTGATGAGAACTTTGTTGTGAGTTGTTGTTGTTAAGTGCCAATGAGTTGTTGGTTCTGACCCATAGTGACCCTGTATAGGGTTTCTGAAGCTGTAAATCTTTATGGGAGCAGAAAACCTCATATTTCTCCCATGGAACCACTGGTAGTTTTGAACTGCTGACTTTCAGGTTAGCAGCCTGACTTGTAACCATTAAGCTACCAGGGCTCCTGTTGTGAGTAGGGATTGATTTATTCAATTGTTTCAAAGTGAAAGCAAATTTATGAACCTTTAAAGATCAAATAAGAATTGTCTGTAAGTTGGAGGGTCATACCTGGGGGACTGCCTGTATTGTACGTAATGGGATCCCAAGGAGAACAATATTACTAAGTTCCTACCTGTCATTTCTATCCCAGTCGAAAAATCCTAAGATTAGAATGTGATTTATACTTTTAATTTTCCCCAGTTTCTGTTTTTTAATTTAGTATTTCAACGAAATCCTCTGGTAAGTAACCATATAATAAACATGTAATATCATAACAATACATTTTAGTATGAATTATCAGCAATATTTTACAGACATGGTCACAGAAATCATTATGCTATGTTTACAGAAATCTATAATGCAATCTGAGAATGTAATGCTCTCTGTGCTGACTAAAAGAGCTAGTTTTTTGATATTTAGGGGAAGTGATAGCCAAGTTATCTAAGAGATCAATTTCCTGCCCAGTGCTTTCTTAGTCCTAAAACCCAAAGGATTTTTTTCTTTCTTTTAAAGGAAACAAATGTATTAATCTTTCTGCATGTTTCACCTTTCTGCATGTGTGTGCCTTCAACTTTTAATTTAGAAACAATTTCAAATGCAAAGAAGTTGCAATAATACAATACAAAGAAAGACCTGAATGACTTTTATCCAAATATATTGTTAACATTTACCTCATTTGTTTTATCATTTGTGCTTGTTCTCAAAAATCTAATCTTTTTCTGAAGCATATATGTTATACAACTTGGCATTTTATCCCTAAATACTTTGCATCTTCTAAGAACAGGGACAGAGATACATACTATATACTACAAAATGGTTATCAACTCAAATTCACACTAACATAATATAATGTATCCAATATTGTTGTTGTTAGGTGCCACTGAGTCGGTACCAACCCATAGCGACCTTATGCACAGCAGAACAAAACACTGCCTGATCCTGGGCAAAACTCACTACTGTTGCCACGTTTGAGTCCATCAATGCTGCCACTTGGCCAATCCATCTCATTGGGGGTCTTCCTCTTTTTCTCTGACCCTCCACCTTATCAAACATGATATTCTTCTCCAGCGACTG